CCCGGAATGAATAGATAGTATCTAAAACTACCAAAACTTTGCCCACATATGCTTTGCTACTGGAATATATGTTATTCGGCGGTATAAATATAGAACTAAAACGTTTAATTACCAACTTCCAAACATCATTGATCACCACCAAGACAATCTTTGCCAGAAACTATGGGACAGCTGCTGTAATTTCATATAATTTGAAAGGAATAGCGCCCCCCGTTCCCCCAGTTCAATGTTGGGCCAACAAAAATCTGATGTCTGGATGCGCGGCGCCAACATTGAAACGGGTGGGGGGAGGGAGGGTGGAAAATATGTATCAGCAAATGGTATATTACAACCGAATGCATGTGAAAACTAGATTGTCCCAATCTATATTGTCAAAGATTGTAGTCAAATAACCAGAACCAGTACGTAATACCTGACTTAGCATATACATCTTTTGGTCCAATTTCTAGTCGTTTGAATAATGAGTCTGAAACCATCCCGGTTAGAATAACCAACCGTCGACTAGTACAGAGGTCTACTATCCAAAAACTCAGTCGTAACTTAATACTTATTCCAATAAGGAAAAACAATATATGTGAATCATCAATTGCCTATTCAGTTCCATCTATACTCTTAACCAACGCATGTCATGTAACGAACAAAATAACTGAACTCTCTGGAATTGCCGCAGTCAATAGCCCCTCCTTGATCATAATTACAGAGTCTTGGCTGAACTCAAACATCCCGGATGCTGCTGTGGAAATAAGCAATAAATTCAATGCACATCGTCGTGATCGTCCCACGCCTGGTGGCGGTGTCTTAGCCTACGTGAATAACAAAGTACCAACTACCCGCCTAAGAAATCTTGAAGAGGATGGGAAAGAAGTCCTATGGCTCTTACTTAAACCGCCCAGAACCCCCAGGCCCTATAGTGCGATAATAGTTATCGGTGTGTACTACCCACCTGGACAGACAATTGAAGATGAAAGAGCAATGTACGAGTATGTTACTAACGGACTTGACAACATTTTGCAGGACCACCCTTCAGCTGGCGTAATTATAGCCGGAGATTTCAACAAAATGAGACTGAACCCACTATGTAGACGTTTCAACCTTAAAAAAACCGTACGGGCTCCTACAAGAGGTAGAAATATTCTAGATCAAATCCTTACCAATATGCCAGAGCTATACAATGATGTTCAACATCTGCCACCGATCGGCCGTTCCGACCACCAGTGCTTACTGCTCACCCCAAAGTTGAAACAAAAGGTTAAACCGGTCTCCCGAAAAGTGCGCCTGACGAAATGTAGTAACCTAATCGAACTGGGCATACATATGAATAGAGAGAACTGGGAAACAGTCTACGATGCCAGAGAGGTTGACGACAAAGTAATTGCGTTCACTTGTACTATCGTGCACATGCTTGATAAATCGCTGCCTAAACGCACTGTACGTGCCCACCCCTCCGACAAGCCGTGGATAACACCGCGTATAAAGCATGAAATAAAAGCTAGGCAAAAGGCGTTTAAATCTGGAGATATAACAAGGTACAAACTATTATGTGACAAAGTTACCTCACTTGTATCAAATGCGAAAAAGAATTACTATCAGCTAAAAGCAGAGGTTACACGTGAAACGAATCCGGCAAAGTGGTACAAAACCATATTTGAACTTGCTGCCGCTAATGACAGTAACTCTCAACCACCAGCTGATGATGCAGCAGACTTAGCGGAACGCCTGCAACAAAGCTTCACCAAACCTTGGCAGAATGCCAACCCCACTGAAATTCCGGACGGTGGGGAAATTGAACACCTACTTAAGCATGATACCAGTCCCCCGTTGCCTTCCATCGGACAAATTAAGGCAACCCTTAAACATCTAAATCCCAGGAAGGCCACTGGCTCAGATGAGATCCATCCATGGTTACTGAAACGTTACCATGAAGAACTTGCCCCTGTTATTCATAACATCATATGCTCTAGCATCTCCCAGGCTAAATACCCAACCCTATATAAACACGCATTGGTCACCCCAGTGACTAAAATATACCCTCCTAATGACATGGATAATGATTTTCGCCAAATCTCAGTATTACCGCAATTGGCTAAAGTCTTAGAAAGCATCCAACTTAAATAAAACAAAGGGGACCTTAAGATCAAGGACAATCAACATGCATTTACACACGGTAGATCAACTGTATCTGCACTGGCGAGCATCACCCAAAATTGGTTCAACAAGACTGAAAACTCACGTGATGGAAGAATGGGTCTCCACGCCCTATTTATTGACTTTTGCAAAGCATTTGATCTGGTGGACTACGGATTGCTTTTAAGGAAGCTCGCCAAAATGAACGTATCGAAAAGCTTCTGGCTATGGACACGGAGCTTTCTAGAAGGGAGAAGTCAGCAAGTAAAATTACAAGGTGCTCTGTCATCTATAAGGCTTTGCCCAACCGGAGTCCTCCAGGGATCGGTTATATCACCAACATTTTTAATGTTCATGTGGATGACCTCGAAGGCTGCATTCCCAATTATCTGGACATCAATACGCACAAATACGCAGATGACTGCACTCAAGATGAAGTGATCCCATACGGTTCTACTAGCAACATGCAAGAGGTGCTCGATGCAATAAACGACTGGGCACATAGAAACAAGATGAAACTTAACGCGAAAAAGACGAAAGACATGTGGATCTGCTTTAAAGCTGCAATTCCGGAACCACCACATCTTAAAATTGGCGATGAGTAAAGTCATTCAAGTTGGTAGGTCTTTGGATTGACAATACCCTTAAATGAAACACCCACATTGATGAAATTGCAAGGAGGGCAAACAAACGCTTATTCTACCTATGGAAGTGTCGTCGAGCAGATCTACCAACTAATGTGAGTTTGACGTTAAGACCGGTTTTGGAATATGCGGCCCCAATTTGGGGTGGCCACAATACCTTACTGACGAACTGGAGAGTATCCAAACTAGAAGCCTGAAAATTATGGGTCTACCTTCTGATTCTCTTCAATCTCTAGAACAACGTCGGGATAAACTTTCCATTCGCGAGTACGAGAAAATCATTAATGACGAAACACACCCATGGAGGAAATACATACCAGACATGGTTACGAACAAGTATGACCTAAGAAACTTAAGAACACCAACAACTCTTCCCGGAATTTTCTCATACACTAAAAGGCATGAACTATCGTTCATTCCCAGAACAAACTCATTATTATAGACAATATTTTTATAACTATTCCTACAATTTTTATCTGTACATATAACTACTAGACTACTACTTAGATTTTTACTGTAAATCCATTGTATTTTTACACTAAAGATGGATCAACAAAACTATTATTATAAAAATGTAATGATATAATTTATTAAAGAAATGAAAGCATTTTTATTTTTCTACGTTTTATTCGAGCAATGGATGAAACTAGAAGAATAACAGTGCCTTATACACCCTAGTTACAGCTAAACGTCTTTCTTACAGTGATGACGATATGTGTATCTATATATTTAAGAAATAGAAAACGAGTCGCGTGCGTTTATGGTGTGATAATGCACGCGGAGAATGTTGGGAGAATACGAGAGAAGCGTGTATTACATAGATATCACATAGTAAACAATTTTACTCAAAAGATCAACTTTAAAACTCTCCCAACATGTACTCGGTGACGTCACGCGCATGCTTTTACTGTCGCTTGAATTTTCAAGCGAGCGAAGAAGCAAAAAAATTGTTTAATTAAAATGCTGGGGGGGATGAACTCCAGTGATACGCAGACTGATTTGCTAATGTTTCAGCATTTGGGCTGCCGGATTTGGCATGAAGGACGTTATAAATCGTAGATTTCGTCGTGTTGCTCAGTTTTAACTTAATTATTGTACTTTTTGCTCTAATTATTGTACTTTAACTCTAATTATTGTTCTTTTTGCCTTTCGCCGAAAATATATCTGGCAGTTTTTATCAGAAACATTGGAGGTATTTTCTAAATCACTTATATTCAGTTTTGTTGCCTTTTTTCTATGTTTTTGGTATTCCTGCATGTATCTTTTTCAAGTTTTCTCTCGACTATTTTGCACGCTTTTTTCTTTTCGAAACAAAAACAAATTCGACAAATGCTAAGCCGATGTTTTTACCCGAAGAACTTTTTATATTGTTTTTACACGTAGAACTATGAGTAATATTGCTTTGTTCCTTTGGTCAATTCCTTCCTGCTTTCTGAATCTGATACATTTTGTATCCCAAAGGCACGAGTTGAGCGCCGTATATGCACGAGGCGCCGTATAGAGGTCCAGGGAATGCCATTTACCCGAATTTGGGGTGAGATTTTACAGAACTGTGATGGTCATAAAACGACATTGTGACATATCGAGGGCCCTGGTCAAAGTTTTTGCTCTACAGCCTGAGCCCGGGGGGGCCATTTGGCCCATTGGGGTTGGGGGCCCCCGAGTTCGCCCGGTCCGAGCCATAGTAGTTACGCCACTGGTTATTTCGACGATGATCAGTATTGAAAGAAGAGTTAAAAGTCTTCCCTTCGTTACTGATGTTCGATGAAAGATAGGATAAGATGTCGCCAAATATCGAAATTTATCACTAAAAGACCGAATAATGAAAAACCAACGAAAATATTTGTCGATCTTAAATTAAGGAAATATCAGCCAATCTAGCATTTCCATCCAACTTTCCCGTCGACCATAACATAGCGAGAAGCGCCATCAATGGGCTACTAGAAATACATGCATACAGCAACCCGTCGCATGTATTTTCTAAACATTGATTTAATTTAACATGAAGTATTAGTAATTGATTAACACTGAACCTGAACGCAGGCTCGCGTTTATGTCAGTGTTGCCATGGCAACACGATAAATTTAAATTTTATTATATTTTTTGTACAACACGCCAAAAATAGTTGAAATATTATTGCTTTTAATTATATGTAACAATGAATTTGCCAAATATGTACTTGTAGGTATATGTTGTTCTGCATCTTGTGAGTTTTGATTTAATCTAAAATTTAACGTGAATCGCTTCGTAAAATGTTTTGAAATGTTCATTTTAATATTAAACTATAAACTGCTTTTTCCGATATAGAACTGTACAGTTTTTTTATCGGTTTATAAAACAAAATAAGTTCAAATTGTTGAGTAATTTCAGTTCGGTTTTCAAATGAATTTGCTCTCCTCTACATTTTACCTTTTATTCTTAAATTGAACAAGGTAATTTAGCAAATTTTAACACAGCTTCATTGAAAAGGAAAGCAGTGCATGTTTTGCGCAATAAATTAAAGCAACAAAATTCATAAACATTAAGCATTCAAAGCAAACTTGCCCTATATTGCACGATTTTCCACAGTAAATCAATTCTTCTCATTTCTTCAAACAAAAATTGCTTCAAAGCTCATTGTGTGAAACGTGATTTTCCAAATAATATTATATGCTTTGGAAAATTGAAATCTTACTTATTCCACTCCTGGCAAACAGCCATATTTTTTAGATCAGTGAGGATGACCATGCACCCACGGTTAATGAACTTTAGACTTGGCTAATGCATGACGAGCAGCAGCTGGGAAATTTGCTGCCGCTTTGCAGAGAAATTGCTGGCGCACGTGATATTTTACAAAAATTCGAAAATTTGAAAAAACAAGACGAGTGAAATTTCAACTGATGATTTTGCATTTTTAAGACGACGATCAAGGAAATTAAATTGTAGGAAAAACTTCACTAACATCTCAAGTATGGAAAGCATCTACATTATCAGCATTTTAGTTTGTGGAATGATTCAAAATTCAGGCGATAAAGTTACATGGCTAGGAGTTGGCTTTTATGCTCTTCGAATATCCATTTTCATTCGAGGAATACTGCAACTTGTTGGTCTCATGGGTACCAAAATCGACATAAACGTAAACCAGTAACCAAGAGCTATAACAAAAATCGCTTTTCAAAAAGATGAACTCCATTCAGTCAAAATGATGAGGGTAAATAAACATGCTACTGCGTGATAGTGATTTCGAAGCAACTTTCTCATATATATTTTAAAAAGTGGGATAATGAAACAGATTTTGTTTTTTGCAATCCCAAAAAGGTATGAAAATTATTTAAATATTTGAGGTTTCCATGTTTATAAAGTGTTTTTTAAGAAAAAGAAACATTTTCCCGAGAAAAAAGCATGGTTTGTGTAGAAAACTGTTTTTTGAGATAGAAGATCCTGGGAGAGGGGGGTGTAGAAGCGTGGGCGGACAGCAAAAAACCTTGACTTTTGCTCCAAAAAATTAATACCAAATTTTGTTTTGCCTTTGTTTAATGTGTAATTTAAACAAGGTTTTTTACATTTAAAAATTCCGCTTAGTCATCAAAACTTGGATTATGTTTGCAGTATTGGCTATTTGTTTACTTTTGGAGGTCAAAGTTTGAGGTACAATTATTTTTAAAGCTTGCAAACTACCCAACTAATACTTGGCTGTTGTTTGCAGCCTTATATGCTGATTAAGATTTAGTTTGGTCCACAATATTAGATCCTTTCAATGAAGGGAAATTAAAAATAGTATATTTGATTATTTTTGCAGCACAGTCAGTACATAGGTAGGCCTGGTAGGGTGCAATACCAGGCCAAATTGCAAAAAAAATTGCCTATTGCTCCAAATTCAAAATCATATTTTTTTGCGCCCAAGGCACATAGGAAACAGAATTTAACAATAAATTTTGTTGAAAAATTCCGCTTAGGGGTCTTATTTCGCTTTGAAATGCGTGCGTTTACTGCTCTTGTATGACGCAAGAGTTCGAAAACATTCGAAGTACTGTGAAATTTATGAAAATGTAAATCTTGCTACTGCCTCGGCACTGAAATGTTTTTTGACAACGACAATTTACCAGTGTTTCTTGGATATTTTCCTTGTTTAACTCGTAAAACCGAACAGTTTGCTGTAGAAATATGTTGTTTACGAAATATGTTGTTTATATTTTGCATTCGCAAGGCGTCAACAAAAGCCGGCTCGAAAGCCGGCATTTTCGCCACAGTTTGATTATCATATCAATAGATAAAAGCTTTAAAAATTCAATTGAAATACATTTTAAACCGCCCGTATTTGAATAGAATATATGCTAGTCGTATTAACATTGAACTTCTTTCTGTTTGAACCAAAATTTGTACTTGTTTTGCGTTTGACAAGGCTGTCAAGCTCACGTCGTCGCGACGATTCAGTGGCGTTTTATACCGAGCATCAGATTCAGTCTTGTTTGTGTGAGGATTATGATATTCTATTGCTCTTCAAACAGATATTCTATACACTGGAAACGTAGAGTACATTTTACTTTATCTTTGACTCAAGCAAAAAAGTATAAAGTTTAAACAGGCATTTATGCTTGTTAAAAAGGGACAAAACATCAAGATCCATATATATATATATATATTAAGATCCATATATGTATGATGTCAAAATTTGATATATATGTATTAAGATTCATATATATGTATCAAAAACCGTATATGTATGTCAAGATTCATATATATATGTCAAGATTCATATATATATGTCAAGATTCATATATATATGTCAAGATTCATATATGTATGTCAAGATTCATATATATGTCAAGATTCATATATGTATGTCAAGATTCATATATATGTCAAGATTCATATATGTATGTCAAGATTCATATATATATACAGGGTGTATCAAAAAAAGCGCAATCCTCGACTGAAATGTAAATTGCTAAACAAATAATAGACGAAAACGTTAAAGTTTACATTAATTTTAAAGCGTAGCCATTCAGCTTTCTAACAGTGGGTTGTTTCTTAAATTTGACTCATTGGTTCGGGGGTGATAATACTTTACGTTATTGCAATTGGAGATTAAAAAAATTGAGATGGAATAACAAATCGATCTCATGAAAATAACTGATTTTTTCATTAAAACAAAAAAATGTTGCATTTTATTAAATGGATTGTAACAATAAGTATAATTACGGCTTTTCTTCCACTATTTTTAACTCAGTTTGAAACTTCAAATGCGATATAATTTTGGCTTGGACCATCTAAGCTGACTGGCATCAACTTGCTATAATTTCTGTTTACATTACATCGCAATTCGATGACACTCTGGCTCAGACACCAGAATGTTTTGAGGATTTTTAGCATTCGTTTAGGATTTTCAAACAACATGGTCTCTTTTAAAATACTTTTAATTTGTTCTTACGTGGTTTTCCAGATGTAGTGACGACAACATTAAAAAATTAAAGAAGAAAATTCTAACATTTAAATCGACTAAACAATAACATAGTAAACTTGCATAATTAAACAGCAACTAAAAATGATAGGTTTTACTAAATCTTTTCCTGTGCAATTATTACTAGCATTGGAGACAAGGATAATAGTTTGTTTGAAAGAGAAAAGAACAGGCTTCGAAGTAAGCCTAAAAGCGTTCAACTAGAAATAATATTTCGAAAGTTATTAAGCACAAAAAATGAATTGCGTTTATTTTGATACACCCTGTATATGTCAAGATTCATATATCAAGATTCATGTATGCTTTAATGAAGTACTTCTTGACCGTTTAATTATACCGCTGACCAAATATTTATGTAAACATTAATAATATAGCGATTAAAGATGGCGCATTTCATAGATAATCTTAGACAGTTCTTTGAAGAGTTTTTAAGGTGTATTGGGGAAGCAATTGCGGGGATGAGTTCAGAATACGAACCAAATCGTGTGGACAGCCTGTTATACAGGCTATCGGAATTTGAAACCACACTTGGATTAATTTCAAGTCGTGTTGGAGAATATGACACTAATGACAGCGTTGATCAGTTGTTGGAAGACCTGGAACGGCTCTTAGCCACTGTGCGTCTTCTAAAAACCAGATATCAAGATAGGCATGTTGAATCGAACACCTCTTCCGATATCGAATCGCCACACCGCAGTTGTCCTGTTCATTATTTAGGGCACGCTTGTCGTCCACGGCTTGTTGTTGACAAAGTTGTTGTTCAGCAACTGCCTGAAGAATCCATGAAATGGGTAGACATTGCAAGAATTCTTGGAATTTCCCCCAAGACTTTGATTCGTCGACGCAGGGAATTTGAAATGCCCATTGGTGCTGATGCCTTCACATGTCTTGAAGATGGTAATTTAGACGGACATGTACGAGAAATTTTGCGAATAAATCCTGAAGCAGGTACCGTATATTTTAATATGTGTAACACAACCCCAGGGACGCCAGAAAGGGAGGGCGCATCGCCCACCTCCCCCCCCCTTGTACTTTAGTAAGGGGGGCAGGGCGAAATTGCCCTTAGATAAAAATTCTAACCCAAAAAATATGAGGTACAACGATTAAAAAGTATGAATTACGGGTGAAATGGACGTCATATTGATATATACGTGAAATTTTCTGGAATATTGTGTCAAAAATTAGGTTAACTTTTAAAACTTTTTTGCCCTTGTTTTTTCCGGAATATTTTTTGCCCTAGTTTTGGTGAATTAAATTTTTATTTAAAAAATTTTTCGTAAACGAAATATTAGTTTGTGATTGGCCTTACGTCAACATTGCCCCCCTGTGCCCTACCCTCGCTCCTGTGTCCCTGCATAATCCTATATAAAGTAGCATGAAATTAACATCCCTGTCTAATAACGCTCGATTTGCATGCTTCTCTCTAAAAGTACGAAAACGTAATACCGAGATGATTATTAGATAATGTACAATATGACAGAACTTGTCAATATAGGTCACTCGATCGCTTGTGCTTTTCCTAGGACTTCGTCTAGTTGAAGGGGGGGCTCAGAGCAAAGAAATTAAAGATTCAACAGAATCGTGTTCGGGAATCTATTGCACGAGTTAATCCTGTTCTCTCAGCAGTGAGAGGACACAGCTTCAAGATTGTCAGGAGAAAGTATTCTGTACCTTGCCCAAACGCCCTCTGGCATATTGATGGCGATCATAAATTGATAGAACCGTACAGAATTGTCATTCATGGTGGGACTGACGGGTATTCCCGCCTTATCGTATATTAAGGGCTTCAACAAATAACAAGGCCAATACTGTTCTTGATCTTTTCCAAGAGGCTGTCAGCCTTTACAACCTACCGTCTCGTGTTCGTTCAGACCAAGGTTTGGAAAATGTCGAGGTAGCACGGTTGATGTTGCGTGAACGAGGCTTGAACAGAGGCAGCACAATAACTGGTAAGTCGGTTCACAACCAACGAATAGAACGTTTATGGAGAGAAGTTAATCGTACGGTGGTAAGCGAGTTTAAGAACATATTCATGTACCTAGAAACAAGTGGATTGTTTGATCCACTGAACGAAATTCATCTATTTTGTCTTCAATATGTGTACCTCCCAGAAGTTAATAACTCCCTAGAGGAACTGACTAGAGTCTGGAATTATCATGGCCTTACCACTGAAAGCAATACGACGCCAAGGCAGTTGTGGTCTTGAACGGGAATGCTGTGCAATAGTCAGAGCGGTTACGGGGCAGTTGAAGATGTACTTGATGGTGTTCAGCCAGATATGAATGACTATGGAATTGACGAGAGTGGTAACGTACCGGAACTTCAAACTTCCAACAATGTGGTTGTTCCAGAATCTCCTATCGAAAGTACGGAAGAAATTGATGCTGACTTGCAACGAATCCTCGAAACAACAACTGACGACGAGTACTGCATTCAAAAATACCTTTTAGTTCTTGATTACATGGAATATCAAAATCGCGAAAATGGACTTGGAAATGAGATTTAAAATCAGATCTGTACAGCATTCACTTCATTTTTTTGCCAGGTTTAAACAGATCTATTTCTGAATTTATAGCCGCTCACAACCACCATGTCGTATCTGCCGAAGAGAATCGCTCTCCTCTGCAACGTTTTTAGCAGTATCGCTACCTGACAATCTTGAAGCTGTGTCCTCTCACTGCTGAGAGAACAGGATTAACTCGTGCAATAGATTCCCGAACACGATTCTGTTGAATCTTTAATTTCTTTTCTCTGAGCCCTCCTTCAACTAGACGAAGCCCTAGGAAAAGCACAAGCGATCGAGTGACCTGTATTGACAAGTTCCGTCATATTGTAAATTATCTAATAATCATCTCGGTATTACGTTTTCGTACTTTTAGAGAGAAGCATGCAAATCGAGCGTTATTAGACAGGGATGTTAATTTCATGCTACTTTATAATTATAGGATTATGCAGGGACACCGGAGCGAGGGTAGGGCACAGGGGGGCAATGTTGACGTAAGGCCAATCACAAACTTATATTTCGTTTACGAAAAATGTTTTAAATAAAAATTTAATTCACCAAAACTAGGGCAAAAAATATTCCGGAAAAACAAGGGCAAAAATGTTTTAAAAGTTAACCTAATTTTTGACACAATATTCCAGAAAATTTCACGTATATATCAATATGACGTCCATTTCACCCGTAATTCATACTTTTTAATCGTTGTACCTCATATTTTTTGGGTTAGAATTTTTATCTAAGGGCACTTTCGCCCTGCCCCCCCTTACTAAAGGACAAGGGGGGAGGGGGGCGATGCGCCCTCCCTTTCCGGCGTCCCTGGGGTTGTGTTACACATATTAAAATATACGGTACCTGCTTCAGGATTTATTCGCAAAATTTCTCGTACATGTCCGTCTAAATTACCATCTTCAAGACATGTGAAGGCATCAGCACCAATGGGCATTTCAAATTCCCTGCGTCGACGAATCAAAGTCTTGGGGGAAATTCCAAGAATTCTTGCAATGTCTACCCATTTCATGGATTCTTCAGGCAGTTGCTGAACAACAACTTTGTCAACAACAAGCCGTGGACGACAAGCGTGCCCTAAATAATGAACAGGACAACTGCGGTGTGGCGATTCGATATCGGAAGAGGTGTTCGATTCAACATGCCTATCTTGATATCTGGTTTTTAGAAGACGCACAGTGGCTAAGAGCCGTTCCAGGTCTTCCAACAACTGATCAACGCTGTCATCAGTGTCATATTCTCCAACACGACTTGAAATTAATCCAGGTGTGTGTCCACACGATTTGGTTCGTATTCTGAACTCATCCCCGCAATTGCTTCCCCAATACATATTAAAAACTCTTCAAAGAACTGTCTAAGAAATGCGCCATCTTTAATCGCTATATTATTAATGTTTACATAAATATTTGGTCAACGGTATAATTAAACGGTCAAGAAGTACTTCATTAAAGCATACATGAATCTTGATATATGAATCTTGACATATATATATATATATATATATATATATATATATATATATATATATATATATATATATATATATATATATATATATATATATATGAATCTTGACATACATATATGAATCTTGACATACATATGAATCTTGACATACATATATGAATCTTGACATATACATATGAATCTTGACATATATATATGAATCTTGACATATATATATGAATCTTGACATACATATACGGTTTTTGATACATATATATGAATCTTAATACATATATATCAAATTTTGACATACATATATGGATCTTAATATATATATATGGATCTTGATGTTTTGTCCCTTTTTAACAAGCATAGGCATTCAAAAATATCTTGAAAAATATACAACAACCGCGAGCGTCTTCGCTATATTTCTTCGGGGAAATCTTCAAGTTTCAATGGAAATTTTGGTTAATCTGGCGCATGCTCAGACAAAATTCCCAGCTGCTATGACGAGCCAGACAGCTCCAGATTGGCAGCTCCAGATTGGCAGCTCCAGATTGGCAGCTCCAGATTGGCGAACGGATTAATGTTTTCATTTTCCATCACGTACTAAGGAATATGACAAGAAAAAATGGTCTTTCAAAAAAATTGAATATCCATCGGTAGTTAAGCGGCCAAAGCAGTTTGTTTACAAACTAGTCGTTCCGGCTCCATATTGAAATTGTATCTGGAGCTGGCTCCAGATTCGCTAATCTGGAGTTGCCAATCTGGAGCTGTCTGGCTCGTCATTGGCTAATGCTCTCCTTTCCCCGGGTGTAAATAGCCGGGGGAAATTAATACCCCCGCACGGCGCTTCGCGCCGTCGGCTCGGGGATTACTTAAAACCGCTAGCAAATCGGAACAGGACAAAACCATTTCATGCCGAAATAACATAGCTAATTTCTTTCGAAGCTGTACAGTCCTCAAAATCTGAGTATGACCAAGGAATTCAAACATATTCCTGAGAAAAAGAAGATTACGTTCCCAGCAAATATGAATATGAGGTTGATAAAATAAATAGATCCAATCATCGAGCAATTTCTTCTGAAGAATTAAACATACAATTAAAATAACGCCGCTGTGTTTCAAGTTTGCAAACCTGAATTACAAGTACTCAAGTGTATAAATGACATATACAAGTCATAGCCTCTGTGTCTGCATGTGTTTGAGAACATTTCATATTTTATAAGCGCGCGCAAGCTAATAGAAATTTGTATGTAAAAAATACCGCATGAACAGCAGTATTGTATAAGATGTACAAATACGAGCCACAGGCGAGTGCCTGTTATATACAACACGGATGCGTTCATTATTCCAATGACATTATAATTTGAATTAATCAATTTTAGACTAGCACAAAGCAATTTTAAAATGAGGGGAGGTGGCCGGGGAGGGGGTTATCTAAAAAATTATGGGTTATTTTGTTCTAAGTTTTTACGTGTTTTAATATCTTATGACAAGCTTATGAGTAGCTCGCTGCTTCTCTAGGCAATGTGTATATATGATGCTAGTGACACAAATAGTAACACCAGAAAGCTGCATATTGACGTGCATTCAACTACCTGGAAATACAAGTAAAAACTTCGAGGTTTAGAGTGAAATTACCGATCTTCCAGACATCGAAGTTTTACTTGTATTACTCAGGTGAATGACTAAACTGCTGTCATGGTTACTACCAACGTTGGTACAGACCGTTCGAGTTAATATCACAGATAGTAACAGCAATGCAGCATCTAGTTGGGCTTCATGAAGAGTATGAAGAGTACTCGGACATAACGACAAGCTTATGAGTAGCTCGCTGCTTCTCTAGGCAATGTGTATATATGATGCTAGTGACACAAATAGTAACACCAGAAAGCTGCATATTGACGTGCATTCAACTACCTGGAAATACAAGTAAAAACTTCGAGGTTTAGAGTGAAATTACCGATCTTCCAGACATCGAAGTTTTACTTGTATTACTCAGGTGAATGACTAAACTGCTGTCATGGTTACTACCAACGTTGGTACAGACCGTTCGAGTTAATATCACAGATAGTAACAGCAATGCAGCATCTAGTTGGGCTTCATGAAGAGTATGAAGAGTACTCGGACATAACTACATAACTCCTCATTTTCTTTACTCATAATAACATTTTATTATAAGCTTTACAATGCGAATGGAATATGTGTTTCTTGATGGGAGAGGAAGTGTTGTTGGAAAATTAGTAGTAGAATTAGATAACTATCGACAACACCAACATTTATACTAATTTTCCAACAGCACTTCCTCTCATATCCAGAAACGCCTCTCATATCTCGTATCCGTATATATATATACCACATTGTTAAATATATATATTTATTATATGGCAAGCATTTGTTTTGATGAATCGTGCAATTTGATTGGCTGCTGACGAGGCAGGATTTTCCCGTATTGCCCACGGGCAATACGCAATTTTTTTGCCCTGCGACAAGAGCCGAGTTTCAAACGGCAAAAAGTGTCTAAAAGTCTTTCAAAACTATTCAAAACGAAGAAAAATTAAACTAAAGAAAAGGAGCACCTTCTTTGGTTAAAGAACTTTCTCAATATGTTTTTGTTAGCGAAAGTCGAAATTACAAGGTAAATTTTACAATGTTTATAACTATTAAAGAAGTCAGGAATAGCTGTGTTTTGACTTTGTGAAGAGCTGCAAATCTTATTTGCAGATAGCCGAGGAATTTGACACCATCCTAAATAAAAAATACAACTAAAGGAGCCACAGATTTATATTTTTCCCTGAAAATTTCTGGGTTTTTTCGATAAAGAAATATCTATTTATGAGATGAAGCGAACTAAAAACGTACTTGTCCATACTGTTTATTAATTTTATTGTTTCCATATTTGTTGTCTTTGTCTTTGATTAAATGACGAAATACCTCGTATTTTTCTTGAAATACTATCCAAATGTGTTAGTATTCTATATAAAAAGTGCTGTGGAGTAGTTTTACTAACCAAGCTTGAGAACATTTTTTACAATTGTTCTTTTTTGCAAATGTTTCGGACTTTGTACTTTGCCCTCGCGTGACCTTTTTCCCATTTTTTACAAACGTACAATGCCATATAATAAAAAAACTTACTGACCTCAACCGTTCGGCCAGTACGGGAAAATATCCAACCTCGGTCTTGCTGTATTGACCTCGCTATCGCTCGGTCAATAGTCTATGATAATGTACTCTTCATGGGGAAATAAAGTTATGCTCCCAGTTAATTGGTCTTATGAACAGTCTTTGGAGAAACAAATAACTGTAATGCAATTTGTTCATAGTTCTTTTCATGAAAAAGTCTTTGGTATACCATTCTTCAGCGTAAATCTTCCGCATACGGACTTGGCATTTTATAATTACAAAATTCGCCACACTTAATCGATCGTGCAACTAACACGCACTGTTAAACCCCACGCGAGTGGACGCATATATAATAGAGACCTTAAGATTGACGTTTACCAGGCGCGGATCCAGACCGTGGCAAAAGTGGCTCGAGCCACGGTCAGATTTTTCCCACCTAAGATTTTCCGGGGTTCACCTTTGTTGGATACTACATTAGACTGCTTACGCATTTTTAAGAAGTATATA